GCAGGCGACCCCAAGCCAAGGGTTACTGGGTCACTAAAAAAAAAAAAAAAGTGTCACCATTAAAGTCTGCACCATTAGCACCTGAGATGTCTGGGTGACACCTGCTTTGGCTTAGTTTATTAGAAAACTTGCTGTGTCAGAGGCAGGTAGTTTTCAAAGTTCCACGCTTCGGCTGTTGGTAAAGGAGAGTTCGATTATGCAAAGGCCTTTCTCTGAAGACGGTGGTTCTGAGAAAGCTGTCTTGCCATTGAAGCAGTTAACTATTAGAAACAAAAAGGCCTGATGGAAATCTGTCTTGGTAACCAGGGGGCAGTATGGATCCTACCAGGCGAGTTTGCAATGACCTCAGTGCCCTGTGGGCGGCTGTGGTGGGCGTGGTGGATGGGCGGTGTCGCCCGTCGCCTTCCTCTCCGACCCCGCAGGTTGTCCCCCTGACGTGCATCTGAACTCACTTCACAGGCCTGATGCGCTCGCGGGTCCGGGGGGCTGACGCCGCCCACGCCAAGGTGCTGACCTTCCTGGACAGTCACTGTGAGTGCAACGAGCGCTGGCTGGAGCCGCTGCTGGAGAGGGTGGCCGAGGTGAGGCGCGGGCCGGGGAGGGAGGGCGCGCCCTGGGTGTTGTCCAAAGAGTGTTTCATCGGCTGCAGGACCCCAGCACTAGGGGGGCGGTTGCCGGGCACATCTGGGGCAGATAAGACCACCCTTTCCTTATGAGCATCTCCCCCGGCTTGAGCAGGCAGGACGGTCGCGCCCGCCTGGTGCCCGGCTAGTCTGAAGGGCCGCTCCGTCCCCAGAGAGGGCACAGCTCGCCCACCGACAGGCCTGCCCACCCGCCGGGCTTCCAGGCTCACGGAGGGGCAGGTGGGTGGGGCCCGCACAGTGACTGGCAGGGCCAGGGGGAGATCTGGGGCCCCACGTCACTCATTTGCTGCCTTCTGGAAGCGTCACTAATGTCAAGTTTGGCCTTTGTCATTTCTCTTGCCTTCTGCATGTTGTACTGACCTTCCTTCCTGTGGTGTCTGTCACGTGGGTCTAGAGAGGGCAGACAGCTTCAAAGGCCTCATCTTCACAAACGATGTGGCATCAAGAAACGGCCCCGTCTAGGGGGAGTGTCTTCTTTTTGGCAGAATCATAGGCGGGGCAGGCTCAGCACCTGGAATCCTCTCGTGATCTGGTGTCCCTTCTGCTGTGACAGTACTGGCCCTCCCCTCCACATCCCGCACACACACCACGCACGTCCACGGGAGTGTGTTCCTGACTTTGTTGTGTGGACGTTTCAGAGATGGGTCCGTCCCTGAGGTTCACCGCAGCTCACGAATTAGCCGTGTTAGACACAGCTGAGCTTAGGTGCTGCGAGAGTGAAACCACCCTTGTTGAAATTCTGATCTTCGAGAGGACAGAACAGGACCCCTGGGCACACTGGCATGGGCCTTGCCCTTGCTGGGAGGACAAATGGCTGACGTGTGCCCTGGCCGTGGTGTCTCCTCCCACGGAGCGATTCCTGCCCTCCACGAGCCCACCCCAGGGCACCCCCGTGTGCTGGCCGTGAGCGGGCCGTCCTGGCGGGGAGGCTGGGGTCCTCGTTAAGCAGGTGGTGGGTGGGGAGGGGCAGCCGGGTCTGTGCCATGAGCATCCGGCACAGATGCCTCCTCCGGGTGTGTGGGGCTTTTTGTTCTGCTGGGATCCCCATGACTGCTCTCCCCTTTTCCCTGTTTCAGGACAGGACACGGGTCGTCTCCCCCATCATCGACGTCATCAACATGGACAACTTCCAGTACGTGGGGGCGTCTGCTGACCTGAAGGGCGGTAGGTGTCCACCACAGTCCTCCCGCCCGGCTTGTGCTGTCTGCACAGCGTGGGACCGTCGCCCCCTCTGTTGTAGGAGTGACGGTCATGACAGTGTCCACACCACACGTGCACTCACAAGAGGACTTCATAAAGACAGAGCAAGTGGCCCTGTGTCCTTAGAGAGCTGCCCGGGCTTCCCGTTCTGCTCTTATCTCCTGGACCCTCTGCGGCGTGTGTGAGCCATGGGGCTCCGTGAACTGTTGTGTCCTTTATGGTCATAGATGACGAAGCCCCCTGTTGGGGTCTGGGGCCAGCAGCTCCACAGAGCAGGGTTCGTGGAGATGAAGGGGCTGCAGTTTTCACAAGGCCCTCCCCACCCTGGCTCTGCAGCCTGTGTCTCTTGCTGGTTGCCCAGCCGGGCTGACCCTGCTCCCTACCCACCCACCACGTCCTGCCTGCACCTGGGTAACCGTTTGTCTGAATGACCCCCCAGTGTCCCGTAGGGACCCCTCAAACCCACCTGCCACGGAGCCCTAGGAGTGTCCTGTCTGAAATGCTCTTTACCCTCTGTATTAGTCCATTTCTGTTGCTTATAACAGAAATACCTGAAACTGGGTCGTTTATAAGGAAACAATATTTGTTACTTAGTTTTGGAGGCTGGGAAGCCCAAAGTTCGGGGAACAAGTCTGGCGAGTGCCTCGTTGGTGGGCGGTGACTCTTCACAGCAGCGCAGGTGTCCCGTGGCAAGAATGGACGGAGAAGAGAGCTGACCTGCTCACTTTCTCTCCTATGAAGCCCCCAGAACCACGCCCGGCCCTCCGTGAGTGGATCAGTGCTTTCACAGGAGCACAGTCCTCACAATCCAGTCACGTCCTCGAGGCACCCACCTTTCAATTACCGTGATAGGGTTTCCCACCCTCCTGACACTGTCACAATGGGGGCTAAGTTTCTAATACACAGACTTTGGGGGATACAGTTCGATCCAAAGCACCCTCTTAAAAATTTCCAAAGGCCCCAGAGCGGTTGGTGGTGTGGGTGGTGCACAGACATTTGCTGCGTTCTGTGTAAAGCCGAGAAGTTGCTAGAACAGCTGAAGGGGGCAAGTGGCGGGTCAGCTGCAGCCTCCAGCCTGCACTCCCGAGGGAATGAGATTGAAGCGGGCTGGTAAGGTCTTGTATTGGCATAAAAGTAGTTTTGATGTCACGAGCTCCCTGACAGGGTCTGGGCCCCCCAGCACTTCCTGGACCACCCCCAGGAGACTGCCATCACGAAGCGCTGCTGATGGTGGCCTGGCATCACCCTCCCACTCTGCAAGGAGCCATCGGGGTGCCTGGCCTGGCCCTTACGTCCCTGTGCGCCACGACCGGGTGGGCAGAGAAGGCCTGTGCCCCAGGGGGCTCTAATGCCTCCCGGTAACGAGCACTGCAGCTCTGAAGTTGGCTGCCTGGCCTGCGAGGCCTAGGCCGAGAGCCAGGAAGCCCCAGAGGCTGCTCTGAGCAGCTGGGAGACGTCCGTGTCTCTGCCTTACGCTTTTGTAAGGTACTCGTTAGAAGGTTGTGTTCCCTCCCCCGGAACTACTGACTCCTTACCTGAGATCGGTGGGCTCTGACTGCTCAGAACCCCAGATTTGTAGCGAGTGGTGCGAAGTACAATGTTTGGGGATTGAAAGAGGAAGGAGCCTTAGACGGCAGGAAGGCTCCGCACGTTCAGAGTGTCTTGTGCATTTGGAAGAGCTGGGACTGATGGGCTGTTTCTCCTGGAGCAGCTGCTGAGGTCAGGGCAGGGGCGGGGACGGCCAGAGGCTCTGCGTGGGTCAGAAGGACGGGCCACATTTTCTCTAAGGCCATTTTACCAAATCATGTTAGGGAAAAAATAAAATAAAGGATGACATTCCTAGCAAATTTTGAATCTAATACAGCTTGTCTCTTTGGACCAAATTAATAAAATAAATAATAAAAACAATAAACATCAAAAAATGAAGATATTAGGTCGATTGGGCTTTAACATTCCCTGCTAATAAAATAGCCGGGACACTGGTTTTCTGGTTGGATTTGTTGTGTTCAGGGGAGCCTGGTGGGTCGGGGCCCGCACTGGCTTCCTCTCTGTGCGGCACTGTCCCTGCTGCCTGGCCCCCAGACACCCCGCCGTCCTGCCCGGCCCGCTGCACTCTGCAGTGAGGGAGCTGGGAGCCGGCAGACTTGTTTGGTCCAGGGCCTGTGGTCCAGCTGTGAAGTATGCCGAGCTGGCCCCGGAGACTCCGAGCCCCCACCTTCTGTCCTGCAGTCACCACGGCTATTAGGGCAGAAAGACTGAATCCAGAGCATGTGGACAAGAAATCCATGCTTGGGCATTGCAAAAGCCCTGTTGACAAAAAGCCCAATGGCAGAGAGCTTACGAGGACAGGGTTGAAGGGTAGAACGCCCTGGAGTAATTAGGGTTGGCCACCAGACCCTTGGAATTGGAAGTGCCCTCCATGCCACGTGTCTGCCAAGAAGTGGTCTCCCGGTGCAGCAGGGGAGCTCAGCGGGCGGGCAGGCAGCCCCCAGGTGGCACACCGCAGTTCCCTTGTGGCAGCTGTGGGCCTGCACCCTGCAGATGCCTGGAGCCAGGTTGAGGCTCAAGGCTGAGGTCTAACATCCTTAGTGGCCTGTGGGTTCTGAAAATGAAGTGGGACAGGTGCCAGGTTGCCAGAAATTATAGCTTGTCCACCCAGTTCTGCAGCTTCCTGTGGCTCGTGTTCACCTGGAAGTTCCCACGGTCCTGCCTGTCCGCTCCTGCGCAGGAGGACGGGGCCGGTTTCTGCGGGGACACAGTCTGCTCACCTCCGTAGGGCCTGGACACGGTGGTGTTGCCGCGCAGACCCTGGTCCCTACATTTCACACTTGTCTCTACGCATTTTACTGTTAAACCAGCCCGACCTGCAATTTTTAGGGTGCAGAGAGGAGACTTCAGCGTGTCTGCACCTCCCTTCCCCCAGGCACTCTCTCTTTCCTGCACGTAGTCCTCATTGTTTGGCTTTGTTTGGGTTTTCCTGTCCCAATATGAAAGTTTTTGGCCGCAAGGGTGGAGGTGACAGGAGCCACCACAGTCACTCATCAGTGCCCTGTCATTCCCTGCCACAGGTTTTGATTGGAACTTGGTGTTCAAGTGGGATTACATGACGCCTGAGCAGAGACGGTCCCGGCAGGGCAACCCCGTCGCCCCCATCAAGTAAGTGCCGGGCATCCTCATGTGCCCCTCGCAGGTGCGACCCCAGGCTCTGGCCCTCTCTTCCGCCCTGTCCCTTGTCTCAGCCTGAGGCGAGAGCCTGCGCCAGGTGACAGAACGGAGTCCTTCGCGACTTCTCTTCCTCAGATGGAGCCTCGCGTAGGTTTTCAAGGCGGATCTGCCAGTTCTGAGCGTTCCTCCACGTCGATCATGCGGAGCGTTTTCTGTGGCAGAGTGGGCTCCAGGACAGGGAGGGCAGTGGACCGCGTGGTGTCCCGCCTACCTGGCTGCCTCGTGCGCGTTGGCACCTCGCTTTAGATCCTTGGGCCGTGCCATGAGTGCCTGGGGCGGAGGGGCAGCAGCTCAGAGGGGGCGCACAATTGTGTGAGGAGGTGGGCACAGAGCATCTAGCACCAAGGTGCATTGTGACATGTGCCCGACACCTGCTTGTGCTCTAGACGCTTCCAGCCTAATTCTCACGGCATCTCTGCTGGGAACGGAGCAGGAACTCAGTAAGTGTTGTGTAGCTGACCCCGGGGGACCGGTAGGCGGGGACCTTGATGGTCCCCTGTCACAGAGCAGGAACCTGATCCTGACACTGTCGGCGTGTCCCGAGTGTGCCAGCGGCATTATACCTGCTATTTCTGTAATCCTTTACCCCATCAGGAAGCTGAGGCACAGAAAGGCCAAGTACCTTGCCCAAGGCGTCCTGTCAGCCAGTGGTCCAGCCCCAGCGGTCACTCCCTCCTGGGAGGCTGGGTGCAGCCCCTGGCACGGTGAGAGCATCCAGGCAGGGACTGGGTGTGGCATCTGGGGCCGGCAGGGGTGGGGCAGGGAGCGGGGTCTCTGCGCTGTTCCGAAGGTCATCTTGCATTTATGGAGTGGGCATGGCCTTGGCAGAAGAGTGCCGTGCCCTCACCTTGACCTCCGCCCTCTCTCTGCCTCTGCAGAACCCCCATGATCGCTGGCGGGCTGTTCGTGATGGACAAGTCCTATTTTGAGGAGCTTGGGAAGTACGACATGATGATGGACGTGTGGGGAGGAGAGAACCTGGGTACGTGCACACCTGGCCCCTCGGGACGGGAGGAGACGTGGAAGGCGTCACAGTGGCCATCTACTGGGCACGACCGGTCCCTGCATATGTCTGGGTTGGCCATTGCAGTGTGGGTGCAATGTTAAATGTTAGGGTGCAGAGAGTCTCTGAAGGACAGCACACACCCTCTGGTGGCCTTGGCTGCAAACTTGTGGAAACGGGAAGGGTCCAGGTGCGAGCCTCTGTGTTCAGCCGCGGCGTGCACGTGAGCCCTGGGAGGCTGGGGTCGACTGAATTGTGATCGTGGAAATCAGAGGGGGTGGCATTTAGTCCCTTCTGGACACTTCTGTGGATGGTTCTAATTTGGTTTGATTTTTTTTTTTT